AAAAATAAAAATAAATTAAAAATTAAAAAATTCTTAAATCTCTTTCATTGAAAAAATAATCTAAAAACATTTTTACTTGAAATAAATATTTATATTTAATATATAAAGGATTAATAATAATAATAATAATAATAACCCCATTTTGTGACAATTTGTCACACTTCACACTTCAATAATATTTAGTATGAAGTTGTTGTTACATTGTCTGGAACTGTGCCCTAATTTCGATATTTCTTGTCGGGAGAATCTGGAATATATCCTAATCCCAAAATATTTTATTTGACAAATATACTGAGCGCGTAATACGGATCTCAATATTCTTATACGATTAAAAATTATTTATAGATATTAATAATAAAAAAAAATACAAGCCATAAATATTTTGATAAATAACATATTTTTAGATAAAAATAGTCATGCACAACGACAAAGTTGATGACACCAATATACGAATTAGTCAATCTTAATAATAGTAGATATAAAAACATGTAGAAATATGCTTTTACAGTTTATGATTTTTACGGTTGAAGAATTTCACTCAAATATGCTAATTAGTTTTCCATGGTTAACACCATCTTTCCTATCCTTGGTCTCCTAAAGTCAATTCTTAACGAATTTTGTGACTTTCCCTTTACCTATAATTTTTTGGATACAGCGACTACAATGGAAAGTCGACTTTATGGGGACCAAATATTAATTAAATCATCATTTGTTATGATAAATTTGTCAGTTTTTGTCATAATTGTTTTAAAAAATTAAAGGTTTAATTGCGTTTTTAATCCCTCAAATATTGCAATTATGTAATTTTGATCTCCAAAGTTTTAATTAGGTAATTTTAGTTCTTAAAGGATTGCAATTATGCGATTTTGGTCTTTTAATTTTTAATTGAATAATTTTAGTCTCTTAAATATTACAATCGTGTGATTTTAGTCTCTCCTATTAAAAATTTAATAATTTTAATATAAATATATATAAAATATTTTAAAATTATACAATTATTTATTTATTCAAGTTAACGCATATTATAATTTTCTTCAAT